CATATCTGCTCATTGGAGGAAATAAGATAGAAATAAATAATATTGAAAACAAACATCCCTCAATCACGTGACAACCACAATACAGCACTTTGGTGAAAGCAGTCTTAATTTTTTTTTAAAAAAGGTCCATTTTTCTAGCTATTTGAGCAGTTCATTACTATTCTATGTCATTTTTGTGTGTTCATAATCGATTTTGTAAATTGGAAGTTACTAGCATGTGATCCCTTTTAAAGAATATTTTACATTAAATTATCTACCTCCCTAGCACATTGCCTAATTCTGTCACTTGCATTACTGAGGAAACATTTGCAAGTAGGACAAAAAGCTGTCTGCAAATACTTAAGCTTTGAGTTGAGTTCTTTTTTTTTTCTTCCAGAAATGCAAACCCAGTCAATTGGGTTAAGTCTCCCAGTCCCTAAGTGGGGGTATTTATGGTTTTTTAGGAAAGAGAGAAACTTTGGAAGTAAACCAGAAGTACCCAGGGCCAATGGCCAGAGTCTTAGAGGAAACAAAACCCTCCAGGATCCAGTGAGCATCCACAGCCATAGAGCACTGCAAAGGAAACTGTTGGGTTAGCGTATCATTTGGAAAGTTAACCCTTCTAAGTGGTAATTACCCTCAATATGTGTCCATTGTGGCATGCTATGTCCATTCACTATTTGTGTGTGTGTGTGTAATGGGAAAATAACAACATGGCTTGGCTGCATGTCCGAGGAAGAGGTCACAGAAATGAAACCTCAGGGCCACATGCTGCGAAGGAGATTCATTCCCCTGATATATTTCATTTAAGATGGAGTTTTACTCTTTGGCCCAGGCTAGAGTGAAGTGGCACGATCTCGGCTCACTGCATCCTCTGCCCCGACTGGGTTTAATCGATTCTTTTGCCACAGCCTCCCGAGTAGCTGGGATTATAGATGTGCCTGCCACCACTTTCATCTAATTTTTGTATTTTTAGTAGAGATGGGGTTTCACCATGTTGGCCAGGGTGGGCTCGAATTCCCGACCTCAGGTCATCCACCTGCCTCGGCCTCCCAAAGTGCTGGGATTACAGGCGAGAGTTTGCCAGGCCCCAGTTTGCATTTTTACAGGACAGAGAAAGAAGGGCAGTTAGAGCTACTCGGCCCCATCTGGCTTTAGGGACCTGATTTGTTCAGACTTGATAATTCCCCACTTGTGGATGCAGTTCAGACTTAAAGGGCACAGTGAGCTCTTCATTTCAATACCAAGAATTGCCCTTTTGAGAGAGTCTTGAAGGACTTGACATTCTAGGATTTAATTATTAGGGAGACGAGCAGAGGCAATGAGATGCAACTCTGAAACAAATGTTTAACCACTTGACTAGAAGAGGAAACAGTGTAAATTAAACATGAAAGTGATTTTCAAGTCAGCTTCCCGCCTTGTAGGCTGATGAGACAACGAGCACCTCCAACTAACTGGGTTTAATTATACAGCCCTATAGGTTCTATCTCAAGTGAGAAAAGAAACATGTCCTTTTCTGTTTTTCGAGATGGAGTCTTGCTCTGTTGCCCAGGCTGGAGTGCACTGGTGCTATCTTGGCTCACTGCAACCTCTGCCTCCTGGGTTCAAGCAATTCTTCTGCCTCACCCTCCCGAGTAACTGGGATTACTGGCACCCGCCACCACGTCTGGCTAATTTTTGTATTTTTAGTAAAGACAGGGTTTCACCATATTGGCCAGGCTGATCTCTAACTCCTGACCTCGTGATCCGCCTGCCTTGGGCTCCCAAAGTGCTGGGATTACAGGCATGAGCCACTGCATCCTGCCGAAACATGCCCTTTACTAAGCTTTTCCTTATTTTTGGCCTGTATTTGGGAACAGGTTTTTTTTTTTTTTTTTTTTTTTTTTTTGTTTGTTTGTTTAAGTTGCACTTCTATAAAATGTTCTGCAAGTTGCAGAGCATAAGAATATATAGAAGAGCTTTAGCTTCATTTAGGACATTCTCTAATTTCTGAAACTTCAGGTTAATTTATCCTTTGATGACCTAATAACACATTTCCTCAATTTTGTTTGTATAAATAAGTAGCATTCGTCAGAGCAAAGCTTATTTTATGTTGGTGGCATTAAGTAAGTGATACTTTACAAAGGAAGATTGGATACTCTGGTGTATCAGATATACTTTGCACTGTGTTCTCTGGCAATGCCATAGATTGTAACTGCAACTGGCAACTTGTACTTGGAAGAGAGCGTTTATCATTGTTTGATGTGTGTTGCATCTGTCTGCCAATTAGCTTGTGAACTCCCCCAGGTTATTCATCTCAAAGAGGCGTGTCTGGCACAGAACAGGTGCCCTCGGAAGGTATACTGAGTGGAATTGAGTTGCAACAATGTGTTATAGACAGTATAGTCACAAAGAAAAATTGTTATCACTGAGCAGAACTGAACTTTCCAGCCCCCCCCCCCCATAATTTTAGGGGAGAGCAAATATAAAACACATTTTCAAATGAATGAGTCTAATTTTGGAAAATTGAATGGTCCATTTTCTAATTTTTTTTTTCCTTTTGCTTCTGGGATATAAAAGCAACAGTGAAAGTTACTTTTGAAAAATGGGCTGAAGAGTTAGAAATGAATCTGATTTCTCAAATCCACAGAGGGATACCTTTATTACTGTGCTGCTTTTCTCCATCCCATACCTGCCGGTTTCATGACAAGTTGCAGTGAAGTTCTACTTGGCTGTGAGAAGTGACTTGCCTTCAGGGTCACTGTGAACCACGTGGGTGGGGGCCGGGCAAATGCATATTCAACTACTCTAAAATATTTAGCAGCCGAAGATTCAAAATTTGACCAATCAGTTTGATCAAGTTTATTTATTTGTTTATTTTTTTGAGACATGGTCTCGCTGTGTTGCCCAGGCAGGAATGCAGGAGCTCCATCATAGATCATTGCAGCCTGGAACTCCTGGGCTCAAGGAATCCTTTCCCGCCTTAGCCTTCTGAGTAGCTAGGATCACAGGCGTGCACCACTGTACCTGGCTAATTTTTAAAATTTCAGCAAAGATGAAGTCTTGCTATGTTGCCCAGGTTGGTCTTGAACTCATGGCCTCAAATAGTCCTCTCCCATGGCCTCCAAAGTGCTGGGATTACAGGTATGGACCACCACACCCAGCCAAAGTTTTACTATAATCAAGGAGGCAAATCCATGGAGACCAAGAAGAGGGGATGGTACCTTCTAGATGTCTTGACCTTTGTCTTCTGGTTCCAGGGGCTGTGGTCACCAGGAGAAGGAAGTCCTGTCTGCTCACAGCCCACCGCCTCTGCGCGGTCTCCTTGGGTTTGCTCGTTGATGGTAATGGTGGAAATTGTCTCAGTCATAACTTAGGCCTGTGAATCCTATTAGCATTTCTCCAGTTTTCTCTGTTTTTGTCAAGGGAACAGAAATCCATTATTAGGTATTTCAATAAAATTGACCTCATATTTCCTTCCTGGGTTTAATACTCACTTGCCAAAAAGAAGTGAAGAGTCAGCAGAGTTGATGTGAAGTCACTTGGAGTGAATATCTTCAAATTAACAAGACGTAACATCTCTTCACTGCCTTTAGCCCACAGACGCCCTCCTCTGCTGAGCCACCTTCCTGCAAAGGAGGTTTTGGAAAAGGTCTTTTGGGATTCTGTCAGGATCCCAAATGTAAAGTAGCAGGAGAATCACACGTTCCATGGGAGATGACTATAGATCATTTTTCCATTTTCAGAGAAATCAGTGCCTTTGCAAGAGACCATAGCTTTTTCTGCCCCCATCTGAACTTACCTAATTTGTGGAGGTAAATGAGGCAGCCTTTGTTCTATGCCAGGCTGGGGTCAGAGCCCTTAAGCATGGCTCGCTGTCGTCTTCTTTCATATTGCAGAGGTCAGAGCATGGTAGAGAAATTTAGAGCATCATCATAACTGTAGCACCACCAAAAATGATAACCACAGGACCTGCCATTACAGAGGAATTGCCCCGTGCCCCATAGCCACCTCTCCTCCCCGACTCTGCCACTTCTTCCTCTCCTGCTCCGATGTCGGATCTTTTTACCTGACTGCGCAGCGGGCTGTCTCTGACTGTAGCTCACTCCTTTATCCCAGCCTTTGGGTCTTTGTAGCTCTGTGCTTATTCCTGCTCCCTTTGCCCTTGGCCAGAATTCTCAGTCTCTGGGATTAGCCTCAACCTTTGTGCTTCCCCAGTACCTCGCTTACCCCTTCACATGCATGTGGATTACATGGACCTGCCCTGGCTTGGTCAGATAAAACACTCTGCTACCCATCTCCTCCTCTCAGCCAGAGTTCCTGTGTCCATTTCACACACTGTCTTCACGCCTGGACTCCAGCCCTTCCCCTGTAACAGCCTCTCTTCAGGAAGGGGGCACCTTATAGCCTAGACCCTCAGTTACCAGAGTCCCTCAGAACAGTGTTTCACATTCAACTGTTGAAGTCTGATGGTAGAGAAAATCAGAGCTTCATGATAACTGTGGCACCATCAAAAAGAATCACTACAGGAGCTAATATTAAGGAGTACAGCGTCTAGCAGCTACTGTTTGGTAAAAGCTCAGGCCCAACCGTCAGGATTCAAACTCAGCCTCACATATATTAACTGTGTGACTTTGCAATTTACTACTTCTCGCCACATCACTGATTGCCATCTGTAATAAAATCATTTATGAAGAGGATTGTTAATACCACCGGTATTGATGAAACAGACTTTAAACCAACAAATATCAGAAGAGACAAAGAAGGGCATTACATAATGGTAAAGGATCAATGCAACAAGAAGATGTAATTATCCTAAATATATATGCACCCAATACAGGAGCACCCAGATTCATAAAGCAAGTTCTTAGAGACCTAGAAAGAGACTTAGACTCCCACACAATCATAGCGGGAGACTTTAACCCCACTGTCAATATTAGACAGATCAACGAGACAGAAAATTAACAAGGATATCTAGGACTTGCACGCAGATCTGGACCAAGCGGACATAATGGACATCTACAGAACTCTCCACCCCAAATCCACAGAATGTACATTCTTCTCAGCACCGCATCATACTTATTCTAAAATTGACCACATAATTGAAAGTAAAACACTTCTTAGCAAATACCATCTGTATTATGAAGACTATGACTCTTATCATTGATTCTTATTTTCTCATGGGACCTATCAAGTTCAAGTGACTTAATATTATACAATTTAACTTATTTTTCTGCAGCAGCACACCCAGATGGGGAAGAACCGATGGTGCTCTTGACATGATCAGAACTCTCCAGGGGCACTGTCTTTATTTTCTTGTGTATGTGCATGCACCCACGAGAGCTTTAAAAATTTATGGGGCCCCTGGGCTGCTGGCTAAGCAGCTCTCCCGCCTCAGACCCAGACAATGTTGTAGCTGTATACATTTGCTGGGAAGAGGAGTCAGTCTAGCTGGAAGGCTATTGTTGTTATGCAAATTGCAAAAGGAGACTTTTAAGCTACAATGTTGTAAAAGGGCTGAGAGTAGGTGGCAGCTTAAGGCTCCAGCATGAGCTTAATGGTTGTAATGAATCCAATGGAAAAGGACCAAGTTTGCTGCTTCAAGACCCACGTTCCACCTTCAGCTGTAAACTATGCTGCATGTACTGCACTTGCCTGAAATAAAGCACTGTCTTTTCTTCTTCTAAAGAGTCCTTTAGATGTGTTTTATTTTACCAGAAGCCCATTTCCTCAACTTAAAGTAATGATTAACAACAACTAAGGCTTTTTCTCAGTGTGGTTGGATTTGGTCGTTTTGGGATTCAGGGTGGATGTAGAAAAAAGTTTGTGTGTTGTGCATAATCTGGGTCACGTAGAGTGTGTGGATGCCTTCCTCAGTATTCACAGGGAGCAGTTACACAGGATCTGAGGGAGAAACAGCTCTGGTGACCACTCAATCCCCTCTCCTCCTTTTCCAGGGACACCTTACGTCTTTCTCTCTGAAAGTGAACTGAAATCTAATACCCTGTAACCTCCACCCTTTGTTTCTATAGGATTTCCATCCTCCCAGGACACACAGAACAAGGTTAATCCTTCTTGCAAATATCAGGTCTTCAAGTATTTACAGACAGCTAAGTTGTAAGCTGTCTTCCCTTTCAGGTGGGGATCCCCCCACTCCTCTTAGGAAGTGGTTTCCAGTTTCATTCTCTTGTCTTTGGAGAACTTAAGCCAGAGAGAGGCTGCAACCACAACATTGAGGGCCTGGAACCCTGAACCATGTCTCAGGAGGAGTAAATAAAGATTTGTTGCATGGAACTCTCACCTCCTTCATCCTAGATAATATACCTCTGGTAATGCAGTCTCTTCTCCCAGTAGTTCTTTTGGCAGCCACGGCACCTCGTTAATGTGTGTGTTAAAATGCCCCCGTCTTCATCTGTGGTGCTGTTGATCAATCTCTTTCTCACTCTGCATTTCTGTAGTTTTGAAGCTAGGTATGGGGGTTTTTGAATAATCCTTATTACTGGAGTCCTGATCGATATTAGCTTGGTCTAGTTTTGGATTTTCCTGTTGGTTTCTAATTTAGTCATCCAGGATGCATACTGTCTTTCCCATTTCCTATTTGAGACATTTGCCTTGTGTAGGTTCACTGAGATAGGAAAAATGAAGCCTCAGGGCAGGCTGTTACCTCTCCAAACCAATTCCCCTTTCAGCGCACATTTATTACAGATACCTTTTATCTTGAGTACTTGTCAGAAGGTCTTCTTTATATCAGTGTCTTACAGATGCAGATAATTGCACATTGTAGGAACTGATTAATCCCCAGGGGACTGAGTGCGATCACACATAATTGTGGAATGAGAGATTTTGGTTTTTTTTTTTTTTTGAGATGGAGTTTTGCTCTTGTTACCCAGGCTGGAGTGCAATGGCGCGATCTCGGCTCACCGCAACCTCCGTCTCCTGGGTTCAGGCAATTCTCCTGCCTCAGCCTCCTGAGTAGCTGGGATTACAGGCACGTGCCACCATGCCCAGCTAATTTTTTGTATTTTTAGTAGAGATGGGGTTTCACCATGTTGACCAGGATGGTCTCGATCTCTTGACCTTGTGATCCACCCGCCTCGGCCTCCCAAAGTGCTGGGATTACAGGCTTGAGCCACCGTGCCTGGCTGGAATGAGAGATTTTGAAGATTTGCAGGAGGTTGAAGAAACGTCCTCCGTAATGGTGAGAGGGGGTCCTTTTGTAATATTATTATAACTGATTTTCTTCTTTTTTTAACTTTTTTTTTTTTGTATTCTTAGCAAAGACAGGGTTTTGCTATGTTGGCCAGGCTGGTTTTGAACTCCTGACCACAAGTGATCTGCCTGCCTTGACCTCCCAAAGTGCTGAGTTACCATGCCTGGCCAATTTTCTTTTACTCTTGGACTGGAAGAGGCTCTGCCTTCTGCTACCTTTTCTAGGCGGTTGATCGTCTTCAGACAGGTGTGGTTGCACTTTGGGGGCCTTCAGTGGTTCGTGTTGAAGAGGGGATGCTTGGCCCACGCTCTGCAAGCCTGGTCCTCGCGGCAAGTTGCCTCTCTGCTCCACGGTACCTCCTGTCATTGTCTGGTCAAGCCGGGCTTCCCGATTTATGGGAGAACTTGGGCTCAGAGGGAGGCTATGAGGGGCCCCAAGAGAATGCCAGCCAAGGCCCTGCCTGGTGTAACCCTGCCAGCACCTGGCCTTTGGATAGAACTGGGAGGCTGGGAAGGAGGTGATGAGAGGCACAAACTCTGGTTCTCTGCCTTTACCTCTCAGTCCAGAAGTGGCCACTGGATTCCTTTGTATGTTTTCTCTCTTCTAGTAAATAAAGAGGAGACTTCTCCTCTCACTGGCGTGCATAGACTACCTGAGGGTCAGGCTTGGCTTGCCTGGTCTTCTAATCATTGACTTTCTTGTTAGTTGGATTCTCCTAACGTTTTCTTCAGTTAAAAATATTCCACATTTCCTTTCCCTCAGTCTTGTTGCAAATTGCCAGTAATTTTGGAGTCCTGTTAAATGACTTGTACTTTTTATAAATTTGCTTCCCCCCCGCAATCTGGAGAAAGAGAAGAGGAATTACTTGAATACCTACTATGTCTCAGGGCTAGGCTGAAGCTTCTCATTCATCATCCTGTCTGCCCTTTAACAGTCCTGCAATGGTGGTGGTGCAAATTTCCATTTTAGAGTTGGAGACAGTTGAGATTGTGAGCTTCACATACCCAGGGTCACGCAGCTGAAGAATAGGGGCGTGAAGATAAGGACCCAGGGCACTGTCCCACCTGTCCTACCAGGGTGAGGAGCTTTGTGCTAAACTCTGGCCCATCAGAAACCACCTGGGGGACATAAGTACCCATGGGTACAACCATTTCAAAGATCCTTACTCAGACCAGAACATTTAGCACAAAACCAAAACCCACGGAAATATCAAAAGGAATAAAAATATCATGTTAATGTTAAGAAAAATTATTTAAAATTTGGAAATAAGGCCTAAAGGTAACAACAGCATGTAGTTCTTCAAATGTTAGCCAGAGTCATTGATTAACAAGTCTACCCAGGGGTTATTTGTTTAGGGTGTCATAGCTGGCTTTGTTTTTAGCTTTTAAAAAATAACAGCTTTGCAGCCAGGCGTGGTGGCCCACACCTATAATCCTAGCATTTTGGGAGGCTGAGGTGGGTGGATCACCTGAGGTCAGGAGTTTGAGACGAACCTGGCCAACATGGCGAAACCCTATCTCTACTAAAAATACAAAAATTAGCTAGGTGTGGTGGCGGGCACCTGTAATCCCAGCTACTCTGGAGGCTGAGGCAGGAGAATTGCTTGAACCTGGGAGATAGAGGTTGCAGTGAACTGAGATTGTGCAATTACACTCCAGCCTGGGCGATCGTGAGACTCTGTCTCAAAAAAAAAAAACAAACAAAGAAAAAACCACCCACAACTTTGCAATGTAATTCACATAATGTACAATTCACCCATTTAAAGTATATGCTTAAGTGTTTTCTAGTAATTTCAGAGTTGTGTAACTATTGGCATAGTCCATTTTAGAACATTCTCATTGCCCCAAAAAGAAACCCGTTAGCAATTACTCCCCATTCTCTAGCTGAGGAAACTTCTTTCAGATGTATTTACTGGTGGACCCTAATTCTTGTTTGACCTTGCTTTACCAATTTAGTGGTTCCCTCTGTAAACCAAAAAGTGCCTGAGAGGTCTCAATCAATTTAGAAGTTTATTTTGCCAAGATTAAGGAGACAGGTCTGTGCCTTTTGCCAAACATGATTTCGAGGGCTTCAATATTTAAAGGGGAAAGAGGAAGAAATTTTAAGAGATGTGGGTAGATAAGAGACAGAGGGTTGCATGCTTTTGAGTCCTTCCTCAGCTGTTCATGTGTAAGAGTGAGTAGAGGTATAGTCACTTATGCATTCCTCTAGCTCCATGAATCGGCATTTTTATGTAAGATAAAATAGGGCAGAAGAAGCAATCAGACATGCCTTTGTCTCAGGTGAACAGAAGGATGACTTTAAGTTCTGTCCTTTGTCCCATACCTGTGAAGATAAGCTATCAATTTACATTGTCAGGGCAAAATTCGACAGAACTGTTCTAGGTTTAAGATCTTGGAGCTCACAAGGAATTTCCTATTGGACAAATTGTGCAGCAGATATGTAGCTTCTTCATCTTTGTAGCTATCTTTTTTAGGAGTAAATTGGGAGACAGGTTTGCCTGATGCAGGTCCCAGCTTGACTTTTCCCTTTGGTTTAGTGATTTTGGGGTCCTGAGGTTTATTTTCCTTTCTCACCTCATTAATGAGTTCAATGGTCATCAACATCTTTTCACATTTGTTTGTCAGTTTTGACTTTTTGAAATAATACTGTGACGATTCTCTCACTCCACAAAATACAACTAAGTACTGTTACATTTTGATGTGGGCTCTTGTGCATATGTTTTAAAAATTGATATTCTATTTTTAGTGATCTATCTTCAATAAATATTCTTTTACAACATTATTTTGTGGGTTTTTTTTTTGAGACAGAGTCTTACTTTATCGCCCAGGCTGGAGTGTGGTGGTGAGCTCAAGATCACTTGCAGCCTCCACCCCTCAGTTTCAAGCGATTCGCATGCCTCGGCCTCCCAAGTAGATGGGATTGCAGGCATGTGCCACCACGCCCGCTAATTTTTTAGTAGATGTGGGGTTTCGCCATGTTGGCCAGGCTGGTCTCGAGCTCCTGGCCTCAGATGATCTACCTGCCTTGGCCTCCCAAAGTGCTGGAATTACATGCGTGAGTCACTGCACCTGGCCATGTTTTTTTTGTTTGTTTGTTTGTTTTTTGAGAGGGGGTCTGACTCCGTCACCTAAGCTGGACTGCAGTGATGCTGTCTTGGCTCATTACAGCCTCCGCCTCCTAGAGTCAAGCAGTCTTTTCACCTCAGGCAGTCCTCCCCAAAGTAGCTGGGACCACAGGTGTGTGCCACCACCCCCAGCTATTTTTGGTAGACGGGGTTTCATTGTGTTGCCTCGGCTGACCTCAAACTTTTGAGCTCGAGTACTCTGGCTTCTCTGGCCTTCCAAAGTGCTAGGGTTACAGGTGTGAGCCACCGTGCCTGGCCTGCAACGTAGTTTCAATGGCTGCATACTATTAAATGGACATCTGGTACCTTACATTTCAACTGTGGAACTCTTAGTGTGTTTCCAATTTTTTGATGTAAATAATGCTGTCGTCAACATCTTTTTGTTCCACACATCTTTGTGCGTCTCTCTTTTCCTTTTCTTTAATTTCGACGTGTGGAATTAATGGTATGCAAAAGTGAAAGTTGCCGAGTACATGGCAGTTAGATGTTATCATAGTTTTTGTTTTGCTTTTTGGTTATTAGTATGTCTCAGGCATTGTTCTCCAGCATTTCTGGGTTGTGTTTTCTAATTTCTTTGTAGAGTTTGTGGCTTAGCGCTCAGCAACATGAGTTGTGGAATTATAGTAAATAAATACCTGATAAACTTACAATAGAACAAAACAAACTTAATCCTCTATATACTGAACTTTTTTTTTTTTTTTTTTTTTTTGAGAGTGTCTCACTCTGTCACCCAGGCTGCAGTGTAGTGGTACAATCTCTCCTCACTGCAGCCTCTAAGGTCAAGTGATTCTTGTGCCTCAGCCTCCCAAGTAGCTGCGTCTACAGGCATGCTCCACCACTCCCGGCTGATTTTTGTATTTTTAGTAGAGACTGGGTTTTGCCATTTTGGTCGGGCTGGTCTTGAACTCTTAACCTCGGGTGATCTACCCACCTCTGCCCCGCAAAGTGTTAGGATTACAGGCATGAGCCACTGTGCCCGGCCTATATTCAACTTTTTTTTTTTTTACATTGACAATACTTAAAACACTTTTGGATCTTGCATTGCAATAGCATTGTTATGAACATGGCTTTAAAGTTAGATTTTTAGTTTCTTAAGACACGCTGGTCCGTGTCCTTGTAGACTTTTTCTCATGCAACAACAACTTGTAGTATTTTTAAATCATTCAATAGCCCTACATCATGATTATTGTTAAATCTAACTTTTTTGAAGCACTGTGCTAAGTGTAGATTAGAAACCATTTTGGTTTACTATAAAAACCCTGGAAGATAACCTACGCAACACCATTGAGGACATGGGCACGGGCAAAGATTTCATGATGAAGATGTCAAAAGCAGCTGCAACAAAAGCAAAAATTGACAAATGGGATCTAACAGCTTCTGCACAGCAAAAGAAACTATCAACTGAGTTAGCGAACAGCCTGCGCAATGGGCGAAAATTTTTGTAAACTATGCATCCGACAAAGGTCTAATATCCAGCATCCATAAGGAACTTAAACAAATTTACATGAAAAAAATCAATCCCACAAAAAGTGGGCAAAGACATGAAAATGCACTTTTCAAAAGAAGACATACATACAGCCAATAATCATGAAAAAACACTCAACATCACTGATCCTTAGAGAAATGCAAATCAAACAACAGAATACCATCTCACACCATTCAGAATGGCTATTACTAAAAAGTCAAAAAAAAAAAAGATGCTGGTGAGGTTGGGGAGAAAAAGGAATACTTTTACACTGCTGGTGGAAATATAAATCAGTTCAACCATCGTGGAAGACAGTGTAGCCATTCCTCAAAGAACTAGAGGCAGAACTACCATTCGACCCAGCAATCCTATCACTAGGTATATACCCAAAGGAATATAGATTATTCTGCTATAAAGACACATGCACACATATGTTCATTGTAACACTATTCACAATAGCAAAGACATGCAATCAACCTAAATACCCATCAGTGATAGACTGGATAAAGAAAATGTGGTATGTACACACTGTGGACTACCCTGCAGCCAAAAAAAGGAACGAGATCATGTCCTTTGCAGGGAAGTGGATGGAACTGGAGGCCATTGTCCTTAGCAAACTAACACAGGAACAGAAAACCAGATACTGCACATTCTCACACAAGTGAGAGATGACCGGTGAGAACACACAGACACGTAGAGGGAAACAACACACAGTAGGGCCTCTTGGAAGGTGGGGGGTGAGAAGAGGGAGAGGATCAAGAAAAATAACTCATAGGAACTTGGCTTAATATCTAGGTGATGAAACAGCCTGTACAGTAAACCCCCGTGACACAAGCTTACCCATATAACCTGCACAGGATTCCTTGAACTTAAAAGTTAAAAAAAAAATTTTTTTTTTGGTTTTAAAATTCTGAGTTAACAGTTCATTCTTATTTTTAAATTCATTTTGCCTCATATTTTCTGACATGCAGTTTGGAAATGTAATATATATTTTTTGTAAGATATTTCTTGTTTAGTTTTTGAAATGTTCAGGTGCTTCTATGCCTTCATGTCCTTATTTGTATGAAATCGTTCCTGGTTCCTTTGTCTTGTGACTTTCCCCAGTTGCTCTCCACTGTTACCCATGGGCATTAGAATCCCTTGAACACCTTCAGATTTCCTTTTTGGAAGCTCCTGGCCCCACTCCTGTGTAATTTTGTGGTGTTCCACATTCCTGATGCTTTATTAGTTCCCAACATACTTGATAAAAGAGAGGTAATTAGTGTATTTGGCTTCTTTTTTGGATTGTTCCCCAAGATAAGCAGAGGGAAATGCTATGTGGGTAAAAATTTACATAATAATGTGAACAGGCTTTGTCACAAAAGCTCAATGTAATCATGAGAAAATGAAAGCATTTTATTTATGGAAAATTTCTGCGTGTATTTATCGCTAAGAATTAAAAATTGTCACTGTGTTATGGTGGCCTCTGATTTCAGAAGCAGCATGGTACCGTGTTTACTTAGACTGTGCCCTGCCTTTCTAACCAAACTCAAACATCTCCTTTCACTTGTGAGACTGCTCTTTGCCCATTCCACCGTTGGTTGAAATCAAAGCCAAACCAGAACATTAAATATGAAACACTTTCCCCTCACCCACAGGAGCTTTGTAATTATGTGGTTAAAAAAAAAAAAAAAAAAAAGCACTGAATTCTGCAATGAGAATGTTTAGTAAAATATTTTGAACAGCTTCATACTTGCCTTCCATGAACCATGGCCGAAGGTAACATTTTCTTGGTCAGTATGAATTGGATTCCTTCCCCTTAGTGCTTGCTTTTCCTTTGATCTATTCCGTCTTCGTAGTT